ATCACAACAAACTGTGGCTGACTCTGAGATGAACGGAAATCCCAGAACACTTAATTATACTAATGTGAAACCAGGACCAGGAGGCAGTTGTCAGAACAGAGCAAGGGAAACACCGCATGGTTCAAAATTGGGAAGGGTGTACACCAGGGATGTGTCCTATCTCCTTTTTGCTTAATGTGGTGGTGGTGTTGATTGCCTTTGAGTTGAGCACGACTCATAGCGACTCTATGGACAAAAGGTCTGAAATCCTACTACAACTATTGACAGTTATCAAAGCTTCCTGAGGCATGTTATTTAGGAAGTGAATGTCACTCCTGCCACAAAACCTCCATAATATCTTATTGTTTTTATGTGCCATTGAATCGCCTGCGATGTATAAAATAGCTCTTCATAATCCAAGGCTGAGAGAGGATGGAGTTAGGGTTCAAATGTCACCTCTTTGGAAGATCTCTGACCATCTAGCTAAAGGAATTATCCCACACAATTTAGAAACATTTTCCTTGCTTGATGTTTGTTTTTGTCATTGAAGTATCAGCTACATGAAAGCAAGGACCTTATATGTGTTCTTCATTGACTTATCCTTGGCACTTAGAAAAGTATCCAACACATATTTTTCTCACTCACTCATTGCTATTGCGTTGGAAACCACCAACAGTTTTACAAGGATGTAAATCACATATAAGGAGATTGTCCATATTTCTCCCACTGCACAGCTATTGGCATAGAAATGGAAAAGTGCAATATTGTGTTTAAGACCACTGTGGTGCTAAAAGTTAGTAGCACATCTTAAAGATGATACCACCAGAGTTACCTCAACATGAAGTATTTGGAAAAAAATAGTTGTTCCATGAATGATGAAAGAAAGTGGAGTCAAGTCAGAGAAAGAAACAGATAGTTCTGGCAAGGTGAGTCCAAAGTCTGATGTTGCTATATCCATCACAGCACACCCGCCTTCTGCCTCCTGTTGCATACAAACATTTGTTTCCATCTGCCCATGTCAGACTCAGGGGTTTATGGGTCTGTTACTCTAAGAAACATTTGTGTGGGTTTTGTCTTATGTTCTCTCTATCCTGCTCTCAGCCCAGAGATTTGAACTTGGCAGCCCCTCAGCATTTAACCAATGGACTTGAATTTTGTTACCTTTTAGATATTCTGACAGCAAGATTGGCCTTCATATTTGGATAAAAACCAATATAGTTCCCTGTGCCTCATGGCCAAACTCGAATAAAGTCCTAGCACAAAGGAGTACAATGACGCAAACAGAAATAAGTTGAGCAACAAAATACAATATTGTCAGATCATTATCTATAAAGAAAATACTCATACTAAATAAATAATCGGCTAAGCAAATAAGGAGAAGGGATAGACTTTCCTTAGAGTATAATTCTAACCAATAAATGTATCCCAAGGAAGTAATTATTATTTACAAAGAGCTGAACAGTGGCCAACAGTGGAACAACCCAGCAAATACCACCTTCATCAAATGACCAAGGTTGGCATCATCATCATCATCTTGTGTCACAAAGAAAAGAGAAAAACATAATTTCTGAGGTATTCTTGCCAGACATATATTATGCTGAATCCAAATTAAGGGGACAAAAAAATCACCAATGAATAGCTTCAAGGTTTTAAAAGTCATGACTCCATAGGTTTGGCAGACATCAAGATCAATTGGCAAAGCATTGTCCATAAAGACAATGTTATGCCTCCTACTTTGGTGAGGGGCTATATGGTCTTAAAAGCTTTTGAGTACTCATTTAAAGAGTAACCATTGGATTTTTTTTTCCTCTCTAGAACAAAGAAGAGATTAAATATGCAATGATGTACTGAAACATTAGTTAAAAGGACTGATGGACTATACAAGCCTCAACTCCAGAACCCTGAGGCCAGAACTAGATGGCGCCTGGTTACCACCACTCTTACTGAACACTCACAAAGGTTCTTAAAGATATCTTACATCATGGTCTTAAAGAATCACAATAGATGAATCTGGGCAGAATAGAGAGAGATATTTTCTCAAAAACAGAAAACAGGCCAGATTTGCTGGTCTGATAGAGACTGGTGGAACCCACAAGTCACTCTTCAAACCTGGAATAAAACCTATTCCCTGTGGACAGACAGAAAATAAACAAGTCTATAGATTGACTACATAACAAAGGTTACTGATGAATCTTGCTCCAAAAATTCTGATGTCACATTCTTCTTCATAGAGTCCAGCATCTTGAATAATTTGCTCAGCATACAGATTAAATATGTATGGAGAAAGGATACAATTCTGATGCATGCTTTTCCTAATTTTAAACCATGTAGTGTTACCTTTCTCTGTTCTCAGGTCTACATTTAGGTTTTCTGCAATTTCCATTCTTCTGAATCTTAGCCATAATTTGTTATGATCCACACAGAAATGCCTTTGCATGTCAACAAACACAACTAGACATTCTTCTGGTATTCTTTACTTTCAGTCAGGATCTATCTGACATCAGCAATGATATCCCTGGTGATGATACTGCCTCTTGTAAATTCAGCTTGAACACAGGGCGGTTCTATGTCTTGGTACTATTCTAGCCATTTTTGAATGATCTTCAGCAGTATTTTGCTTGCATGTGATATATTATTTGATAATTTTGACATTCTATTGGATCACCTTTCTTGGAAATGGGAACAAACACGGATCTCTTCAGTTGTCCAGTTAGCTGTCCTCCAAATTTCCAGGCATACACTGGTAAGTACATCCAGGGCTCCATCTGTCATTTGAATCATGTCCGTTTGTATCACATCGATTCCTAGGGCCTTATTTTTTGACAATGTCTTCAGTGCACTTTCAACATCTTCCTTCATTGCCATTGGCTCTTGGCCATATGGTATTTCATAAAATATTTCAGTGCCAATCAATTCTTTTTGGTACAGGGATTCTGTGTATTCTCTCCATCTTCTCTTTTTGTTTTCTGGATCATTCAAGATTTTGCCCATAACATCTCTAAGTATTGTAACTCAAGGCTTGAATTTGCTTTTGAATTCATTATGCAGATGACACAAACTTGCTTGCTGAAATGAGAAAGGCTGGAAGCACTTGCTGCAGAAAGTTAAACCCTGCAGCCTTCAACATGGATTGCATCTCAATGTCAAAAAGTCAAAAATCCTCACCACTGGAATGATAGACAACATTTTGTTAGATGGAGAAAAATATTGGAACTGTCAATGACTTCATCTTAACGTGGATCCACAGTCAATACACATGGTACAAACAGTCAGGAGATCAGGAGACATATTGCACTGGGACCTCCCCAAATTATTATTAAGAAGCAGTGATGTCTGTTTGAGGACTAAGGTGCATCTGATTCAGACTACGGTCTTTTCAGTCACTTGCTATACATCTGATAGCTGGGCAATAAATAAGGATGACAAAAGAATTGTTGCCTTTGAAATGTGGTGTTGGAGAAGAGTGCTGAATATCTCATGCACTACCAAAAAGACCAGGTACGTCTTGAAAAAGGTGCATCTAGAGTGCTCCATGGAAGCAATAATGATGAAGATTCATCTCACATATTTTGGGCATGTTGCTAGGAGAGGCTATTCGTTGGAGAGGGACATCAAGCTTGGAAAGGTGGAGGGACAGTGAAGAAGATGAAGACCCTCAATCAGGTGGATTGGCACAGCAATGGGCTAGAGCGTCAGAGATTGTAGGGAAGACACAGGATTGGACAGGGTTTAGATATGCTGTTCATAGGGTCACTGTGAGTCATATTCGACTCAAGTGACTTAGCAACAACAACAATAAATAAGGTCATCAAGGAGCTCTAATCGTGTAGTACAGGATGCATGGGGCTGGTAATTGAAAGGTTGAAGATTTTAATCCACTAGTGTGAGAAAAGATTATCAGTGATAGTCTCAGGAACCCAATGCGGGGCCATCATGAGTGTAGTCACAGCGCTGGGCTGTGGCATAACATTTATCTATTGTTAAAACGTCACCAATAATACTCCTTAGAATATCCAACCATATAAAGTCAAAAGAGCACATTTACCCAAAGATGTAGCCCAGACGACAGAAAGAGGTAGACTAAAGGGATTGATCGAAATAAAAATTACAAAAAAAAAAGAAATAAAAATTACAAAGTCAGGACGGTAGGTAATGGAATTAGTGTTATAAACCAAAATGTGCATGAATGGTTGTATGTTTTGTATATTTCCCCCTAAATCATAATTATAAAATAAGCGAAAATTTTAAAATGTCATTCTTTTTTTTTTTTTTAATTTTTGTGTGCGTGTACCGTCAAATCAGATCTGACTGGTACAGGAAGAGATTGTCCCTCCTTCCCCGGCAGAGCATCTGGTGGATTTGAACCGTTCACCTCTGGGATTGTAGTTGCAGCTCCTTGCCACTAGGCCACCAGAGCTCCCCAAAATGTCATTCTTGATCTTTAATAAAAACGGAAAGGCCTTAAAGGGGGGGGGGGGTGGCTAGAAATGGCGAAGAAATTATTAGCAATTAGAGGACATCACAACTAAATGAAAAGTGAAATCTTGGACCTGTAAAAAGGCATTAGTGAGAAAACTGGCAAAATGGGCTAGCGTCTATAGATTACTGATAGCATTAATTTTCTGGTTTTGTTAACTGTAGTAAGATTATGAAGGATGTTAACAGAGAAAACAGAGTATAGGTACTACGTGGGAACTCCTTACAATATTTTTGCAATATTTCTTTAAATATGTAATTAATTGGAATTAAAATCTTACAAGAAATTGTGTATGTACAATTTCAACACGATCGTCCTTGCAAACACATCTCAGTGCGGAAAAGGGCCTGGAGAAGACGTTTTTGTCGTGCGCTTCTTTTAGTCTATTTATGACACGCAGGCCCGAGCCACAGTCCCCGGAGGGACGCGAAGCCGCGGCTTTTGAGCCAGGGGGCGGGCCGTAGCGGGGCCGGAAGCAGTGGCGCAGCTCGGCCCAGTCGAGATCCGGCTCCTGGACGGTCCCCGGTGCGGTCCACTTGTGGCCATGTCGTCGGTGAGCCCCATCCAGATCCCCCGTCGCCTGCCGTTGCTGCTCACCCATGAGGGCGTGCTGTTGCCGGGCTCCACCATGCGCACCAGCGTGGACTCGGCCCGGAACCTGCAGCTGGTGCGGAGCCGCCTGCTCAAGGGCACGTCCCTGCAGAGCACCATCCTTGGGGTCATCCCCAACACGCCCGACCCGCCCAGCGACGCGCAGGACCTGCCGGCCCTGCACAGGTATGGCGGCGGCCGCTGGGCTGCCGGGCCGGGCTGGGGTCGCACCTGCAGCGCGGAGCCTCGGCAGCGCGCTTCCAGACGACAACCGCGGACGTTTAGCAATTTGACTCGAATTCCCCACCTGCTCCCGGCTCGTCACTGCTTTTAACTTTCCAGGCCTCTCCTTCCCGGCTAGTTGCCTATCCTTTGTTTTTGTCTTTCTTCCTTTTGTTTTTAAGCTTGTTTATCCCCTTATCCGAGGTCCCCTCTACTCTTCTGCATTGCCTATTTTTCTAGTTCCCTTCTAAACGGCCCCGTTTTTCATTTCTTCCCCCCCCCCCCCCGGTCAATTACGGTAAAATGTACACAACATAAAACTTGCTGGTTTTTAACCATTTGCAGCTGTTCGGTCCAGTGCCATGAATCACCCTCCCAGGATTGTGCAATCACCACCGTTTCTAGAACATTTTCATCACCCCACACAGAAACTGTGTACTCATTACATAATAACTTGCCATTCTCCCCGCCCCCCAGCTCACAGTAACTGATTTTACTCTCTCAAGAGTTTGTCTAGTCTGTGTATTTCATATAAAGGAGATCATACAAGATTTGACCTTTGGCTCTAGTGTATTGGGTGCTGGGTGCCAAAAGGCGACTCGGCGGCGGCTTTATGAACTATATGCCCATCCTTGCAATCTCTGATATGCTTGAGCTCGTTATTGTATTCATTGCTTCAGTCCATCTTGTTGAGGCTCTTCTCTCATGTGTCTGGCTTATTTCACTTAATGTACTGTTTTTAAGGCCTATCCCTGCTGTAGCATAGACTTCATTCCATTTTATGGTGGAATCACATTTTGATGTTTGCGTTGAGTCAGAACCGACCCATAGCTGACCTTCCGGTGGATTTTCCAAGGCAGTTGATGCACAGGAAGAGATAGCCTGGCCTTCTCCTATGGAGGCTCTGGTGGATTTGAACCGTGGACCTTCAGGATCACAGCACAGCTTCTTACCACTAGAACAGCAGAGCTCCCTAAATTCTTTTATATAAGCCAGCTAGGCAGTGGGAAACCAGATGAGCAGGCTCATCCCATAAAGATTTACAGCTTTAGAAACTGCTACAAGGGAGCTCTAGTGACAAGAAACTGCACTGCAATCTCAGAGGTATGTGGTTCGAATCCACCAGATGCTCTTCCGGAGAAGGAGGAGCAATCTCCTCCACTACCAGTCAGATCTAATTTGATGGTACACACATAAAATAAATTTTAAAAAAAGAAAGAAACTGCATACAGGTTCACTGCGAGATAGAATTACCTGTTGGTAGTGGGTGTGCTTATAGACAGGAGCCTTGGAGGTGTAGTGGTTAAAGCATTCACCTACTAAACCAAAAAGTTGGTTGGAACCCAGCAGCTGGGGGCAAATTGTAGTGTCCTTCTGTAAAGCTTTCTAGCTTTGGGAACTCTATGGAGCTGTTCTGTTCTGTCCTCTGTGGTTGCTATGAGGTGGAATACACTCAGTATTGCGTTTGGTCTACATTTTGTAGGTACATGTATTGTATAGTCCTCAATGACTGGGCTGATGTCTGTGGTCCCATTTATTGGTT